TTTAGGCTAATTGACACCCCTTAATCACATAAAACTAGTGCTGATCTTGAAATGAGAGGGTTGTGGAGGTTACAGGACAATCACATAAAATACCATGACATGAGCACACAAATAAGAGAAAATCAATTAAAATGCTTCATTAATTATGTAGCCATGTAATTTTTTCAATTATATTACTAATTATGTAAGACAATTCATTTAAATTATTTCATTTTTTCGAAGCTTGGAGCATATATGAAGCCAATTATTTGGAATCATGGAAGAGATATTTCATCTTTTAAAATGGAGGATGTTACAAATAATTTAAATTGGAGAGTAACATTTCATAAGCATTCATAAAGGATTTTTAAATTCAAAATGAGGTATTATAATTCCAACATTTAATTGGGAGTTTATAAGAGTTTGAATTATGGAGCTTACAAATCATTCAAAACTTTATTAAAATTTTTAGTCATTATAGAATTCATATTCAAATTTAGGAATTAAATAAAGCTTTATTCATTATGAAAATCATTATGATTTCAATTTCGTTATTGCATTTTGAATTTTAAAGTTGATTTCTTGTATTATAAATTGGAGATGAATGCAATCACAAAAAAATATTTGGTTTATCTATAAATTTTTGTTATGCTTGCTTGCATGCTTGATAATTTAGGCTTGGTTTGCAAACTAACAGGTTAGCTTTGTGAAGCTCTTCATATTCTTGTCTTGACTTATCTACTATCTCATCCTCATCCATTATGCCCTTCAAAAATCAATTCTAATTCTCTTTCATAGCTCATAAGAAACTCTTGATTTGTTATCACTTCCTCTGTCTAGTTCACTGTAAACGTCTTTAACTTTCATCCAAAATTATCCATCAACACTCCGATTTGGTATTAGAGAAAATTTTCTTACATCAACATCTTGGAAGCTCAAAGAGGAGTTAAAAGTGAACGAGTCTTCCCCATTAAGTCAATAAGCCACATCAAATATAAAGAAGAGTTTTCATCAATTGGCTTCAATAAGTGGTAGATCTACTTTTTACTCATTGATAAAATTTTGAAACCGGATATTTTGAATAGTTTAATTCATTATCTTATTACTTCCATAAAATTCGAGGACTTCACAATTTTGTTGGCTAGCTTAAGAGGTAATCATTTAATCTAAGTAGCATCTACCTTTTCATGTCTATCCTAACCCACTAAACTTATTGACCCTTCTATTTATTTGAGAGTTACATGTTGACTGGAGTGTGATCCATTCAAGAAGCTTAAAAGCCCATGAGTGTGGTTTGGATCATAAACTCCTTAATAATTTTTTCTTGATCGAAACACTTTAACTTATTAGTTTTTTTCTTACACACTTATAGTTGTTAATGCAAATGAGTTGTTGCATTTGCTTGGAAAATTTGAAAACCATTTAGCACGCTTAGATTATTTGCTTTATTCATTATTAAAAGAACCACAATTCAATTAAAAAACTACGAACCTTATATTGTGCGCCTCTGGTATTTTTTTTCTAACTGATGTGTAAGTTGTGATTCTATTATATTTAAAATTTTTAAACCGGATATTTTGAATAGTTTAATTCATTATCTTATTACTTCCATAAAATTCGAGGACTTCACAATTTTGTTGGCTAGCTTAAGAGGTAATAATTTAATCTAAGTTGCTATTCTTCCCACGACATCTTTTAAATAGGCTGTTGTGTTTGTATAATTTCCTTATATGAATTCCTGGCCGGGTAGTGTTTAATATTCAATTTTCCTTAACATGACATCAAGTAGTGAACAAAATCTCATCAATAACTGGAACTAAGAATTTTCAGTATGGATCGCTCATGATTGAAATCTATCAAATCTTTAAGTGTTTTTCAAATTGTGCTTTAAGGTGACGAACAACTGAGTCCTTATTTTTCATTTTGAGCTTACATGACTCTCATTATAAGTGGCAGTTCTCATAATAATCACAAACTTCTTGTTAATCATTTGGTTTAATCGTCTTCATATTTCTAGCTTACAGGACGGAATAAAATCAAATATGTCTGTGGATGATGGTTCTGACATTATTTTCTTACACGATGATGTATCATATAATGGAGATAGGATAGCTGCAGGGACTGCAAGAGAAGTTTTAACACGAATAGAGCTAGATTTGGCATATTCTATAGAAAAAGTTTTGAATTTGGAGTTACTTGTAATGCAAGTAGCAGACAAAGCAAGTGATTATGAAATCCTGAGCAGCGGGTCTGAAGAACTTTTAACGGAGTCCATTGAGAAGGCCTTTCAATTTGATATTTTAAGTGGGTATTTGAACTCAGAGTTGAAGGAAATAGAAAGCTTCATGTCTAGTCTCCTACTGGATGTCATTGATGCTTTCAAGTTCACTGAAAGTGAAGACAACCTTGAAGAGTCCTTATCAAAGATTGAAGCGAAGCTACATCATGCTGAAGAATCTTTGAGAAATTCCCAAGAACAGGTTGCTGATATCAGAAAACAGTCGGACAACTTTGAAAAATTACTAGCCCTTGGTGAGTCTGAAAATTGCTGTTTAAATATGTAATCATTTGTAAAGTAGGAATGGAATTGTGTTATAGTTTCTGTCTAATTAGTACCTTGTATAGGGATCTGTACAGACGAGGATTTAGAGAATGGTAATTGTTCATTGATGAATTCCAAGTGGAATTTGCAAAGTGTTGAGCAACAGAGACATTTTCTACAATCATTGGAAACATCTTTGGCCAGGGAAATGGATCTTGAAAAGAAGCTCTCGGAGTCAAGATATAATGAAGAAGAGCTGAAGATGAAACTACATTTTGCAGAGCAGGATGCATATTGTAGTGAAGACTTGATAGAAGCCATGATGGAGAGAGTGCTTACAGCTGAAAATACTGTCGATTTACTTTTGGGGAAGTCAAAAGAATTTATGGGGAAACTCCAGAATGGCCAATTTAGTTCCACTACTTCAACTACTCCAGAACGGGAGGAGAAGTCTAACATGAAGAAAGGCATTGTGAAACTATCCGCTGAAGAAGCTGATCCTGAGAAATCAAGAACTAGTAGCTTTGGATCTGATGGTTTTCCTATGTTATCGGAAGTTGATATTAAAACCAACCTTAAAGAAGATGAGGATAAATGTATGGCCACCATTTCTGTGATTTCGACTCTGAGGGCCAGGGTGAATGTGCTTGAGGAGCAGCTGAGAAAATCTCAAATACAGTTACAGCTCGCGAAGGTCTCTGTTAGAGAAAGTAACAACCAACAAAACATTTTATACCTTGAAGAGAATAATATGGAAAACGTAATTAAGGGTCTCAGGGAAAATGTTATAGAAGTACAAAGCAGGGCAGAAAGTGCTGAAGCACGATGTGCTCAGTTGATGAAAGCTAATGTAGAACTGAATGATGAAATAGGTTTTCTCAGAAAGAATGGAACCGAAAAGGCTTACTTGGAAAGGATGCTCAAGGAATCAGACACGGAGTTGGAGCATGCAAAGGCATCGGTTGATGCAAACGAGGAAGAGAAAAATATGCTGTACACTGAAATAAATGATATGGAACATTTAATTAAGAATCTAAAGGCGAAAGTTTCTAAAGCAGAAAACAAGGCTGAGATTGCGGAAGCTAAGTGTGCTCTGTTGACTGATACAAATTTGGAATTAAAAGAAGAATTGAGCTTTCTAAGGGGAAGGTTAGAAAGTTTAGAGGGATCATGTCATCAAGCTGATGTGGAAAGAGCAGCTACTGCTAAGGATATTGGTAACCGGACTAAAATTTTTGTTGAACTAGTGAAGAAGCTGGCATTAGAAAGAGAGCATCTTCAACTGCAGGTTTCTATCAGTTTTCTTGCCCAAATTTATCTATTGATTTAATGCTATTAAAGTTTTAAATATTTCTTTAGTCTATCTTATTGTTTGATTGCTACACCATTGTTACTTTGTCATTTTCTGTTTTGTTTCCGGCAGAAGGAATTAATTTTTGTTTCTCCCAAAATGCATTTGCTATTTTTGTTTTGTCAAATCAACTACTAGTATAGGTGGAAACAAAAGCGCTCTTCTTATTGGATCATTTATTTCAACTTCTAGCTTCAGTTGTATGTCACACATACATCTCAAAGGAGGTTAGATAAGGGCCATGGTCATCATCAAGCCTTTGTCCTACCTGTTCATGTTTAATAAAATCCAGTCATTAATCGTTGGTCATTTTGTTGGGGAAAAAATTTGAGTTATTAGCAGTTTATCTTATTTACTTACAGAAGCTGCTAACCAGGTAAATTTAACCTGCTTCTTTGTTTCTGGATGGGATTGATATTTGTTCAACATTCAATAAATTGGACCTACCCCCACACCCATACAATAATGATCCTTCAACAAACTCTAGGAGGAGTCTTCTTGGTGGAGGGGAGGATGATAGAGCAACTCCAAATGTTTGTTTTAAGGTGTTCATTACTAATGAGTTTCCTAAACACTAGTATGGCCTAGTTCTTTCCACAAGTTTTTTTTTAAATGAATTTTTGTGGCAGTAGACCAAGAACTAAAGACAAAATTGATTTGGTTTGATTATTTTTTGTAGGAATTGTTGTGTGCTGTAATATTCATGGAGATAGAGAGAGAGAGGGTTTGTTGTCTTATGTTATACACAATTTTGCATCCACATAGATGAATAGCCTACAACATATAGATGATGTATAATATTTTAGAGAAAATGACCAAAAAGGGTTCTTCAACTATTTGGGGTAAATATGTGCCAAAATAGCCTCTCAATCAGAAGTGACTAAAGTTGTAATAATTTAATGAATGCGTTTAAATATGAGGGTATTTTAGAAATAAATATCCTTTTAAAATTCATACAAAATTTACGTATAAGCACACAAAATTTAAAGGACATTTGATCCCTCGCCATTTCAAGAAGTTTTTTATTATGCTTTTGAGTAATTGATTTAGATGCAATTGAACTTGAATCTTGACATTCAATATCTTGGGATGAAACCGTATTGTCTCAGCTATAATTTTGTTGAAAATGGAGTTAAGGCAACCTTATTATAATTAATTATTAATGTTTTTATCCAAAAATATATGAATGCTTTGAGATTTGAAAATTGCTTCAAAGTTTGTATTTGATCAGATGAATTTTTGGTGACATTAAGAATATTGCTACTATATAATTTATTGAAGATTGCATTTTCATACTGCTCATTTGATTCATCAGCAAAAATAACATGATTGGTTATTTATTTTGGTTATAATTCATTGAAGATTGCATTCAATACCAATCATGTTATTTTTGGTTATTTATTTTGTTTGAGTGCATTTTGGAATTAACTACCTAAAACGTGTCATTTTTAGTATGCAACATACACGTTTTAGGTGAACTTGCAACATACACGTTTTAGGTGAACTTGCAACATACACGGAATTAACTACCTATTTTAAGTTAATTTGCATTATTACTTAAATCTTTTTATTCACCCAGTTAATTATCCTACTTTAGTTGATATAATGATGCAATTAGAAGTTATAATATTAATTTGATGTAAGCCGGTTAGGATTAGAGTTTCCTAGTGCAAATAAAATGATTTGAACATGAAATTAATATATATCTGGCTACTAATTACACAAACTTGCTTTCTTTAATATAGAATAATAAATTTGAGAATTTGTACTCAAACTATTTGACAATGTTTGAAAAAGTCCTAAGATATTGACAAAAAAATTGAATCAGACAAACTGTGTAGCAATTATTATTTATTATCATAATAAAAATATCTATTGTATGTAATTTGAACAAAATTAGAACACTAACCAACCAATAATAAGATCGTAGAATAAATTAAGTCTAGGAAAAAATTCACCTAGCTCTGAAATCATGCCTTATGCCGATGCAAGAAGATGATTTGGAAGATGATTTTTCTCATAATTAGATAGTCACATGTATACTACACTTAAATGAATCACACATCTGATTTGCACATGTAAGATTGGAAATTAGAGAAATAAATTTTATTCAATCTATGTTATTGATGAGTGTAATTAATGTTATGTTTTATATGTTAAATTACTTTTGAAATCATGTTGTTTTAGTGTGTTATGCAAGAAAAATATATAAAAGGCATGAAATTCCAAGTATCATATAGTGCCACAACATTGGACATTATACAACTGCGGCGCCATCATTGACACCGCTAGAGCGCCCAACATGGGTATGGCGGCGCCCAATCTATGTTTGATAGCTCCGCGACGTCGGAGTAGTCAGCATTGCAAAGCCTAGTCTCTATCTACACAGCACCGCGGCGCCAATTTTCGGTGTCACCAAGTCGAGGGGAGTGTCACGTGGACGCCGCAACGCTCAACCATCAGCAACGCCGCAATGCTAGTAATCGACTAGGACACGATTTGCCTGCGAAGCGATGCATCAATTCATTAAACAACTGGTCCACGACAGCAAGCCCTAAAGAGGTGAAAATTCTTCAGCGTTAGTTCATTTTATGGGCTCCGCGACACAAGCGTCTAGAGCACCGCGATGCTAGAGTCTGTTTTCTATTTTTTGTATAAATAGTCCGTTTGTAATGTTAGTAAGGGGGTTTAGTCACTTAGTTAATTTCAATCTTCATAGTATTTTTCTGCAATTTCTTTAGAAGTGACAACTAAGGAAATTTATGGAGCATTAGATCTACTTCATAAGAGTGTTTGGTCAATGTTTGTGGAAGCAATTCTGTAAGTTTAAAGAATTGTAAAGAAGATCATTGAACCTATATGGTGATATCTTTTCTTTTGTACTTTTTTTCTTTTGTGCAATTAATGAAAATGAGTTTGCTCATTTGTTTTTCATGTCTGGCTAAATTCTCTAGTTTTGGATTGATGGTGTAAATAGAATATGAACTATTAATGAATTCTCTTCATCAATAATTTAGTAATATTTTCAATATACCAGGTATTCATAATGCACATAGTGACCATATGTGTAGTTAATATTAGGTGTAATGTGGGGTTTAGGAATAGAAAAACAAGCACAACCAGGTACATTGGATTGGTATGATGCAAGCATAGGCATAGTGCTTGACAATTGACATATACCAAATTTATAGAGATTAATTATAATGAGGGGGTTTTAACTTTACATGCTTTACTTACTCTTCTAAGATTTTCATAGGGTGACAGACTATGAGAGTTTAGAATATTTTTGAGGTTGGAAGGTTTAATCTGTCATTTATACTGAGCGATTGGTGCTACATATCCTCTGAATAACATCAATATAAAGAAAATCATTAGGAAAAATATTGCAGTTGCATTCTTTCAATCCAAAATATTTTATCCAAATAGTGTTTTATTTTTTTTTAATTTTAAATTAAATAATTGAATATCCACCATTTTTTTTTTGTAGGATAATTGTTGTAATTGTAGTAGACAGTACTAGTATTTGCTAGTAAACATTCTTCCTCGTGAGGATCGATGTTCTACTCTATCACTATATTACTTGATTCGGCACGTATACTTGCATATGTTAAGTGAGTTTTTTATAATTTTTATATCAAAGAAAACCTAGGCATTGTTTAGGGATTGATAGAGCCCTAAATCATTTTCATAATTCTTTAGGTTACTTCACTGCTCCCATCAGTTATCCAATTATATGTTTCCAAATCTTTATTTATGGACTCTTCATCCTAAGGTTAGTAGATATTTTTGGAATAGGATTAGCCCATGTCAAATTCAAGTAATTATTGAATTTAACTTTGATGTTGTCCTTAATTAGCATATATATTAAAAAGACCCATAGTGCTATATAAAAGTCAAGACTGAGAAGACTAAAGAAATTGTAGATATGGAGGACTATAACAATCATAAATAAGGTGAATTCCAACAATAGTTAGAAAATATGCACAATTGTTTTCGCTGAAAAAGGCGGTGTAACAGCTCACGGGGTAGAGTCGGTGCAACAACACATGACACAAAAAAAAGACATAAAACAATCTTTAAAATAGCCACAAATTGTAAATAGCAGTACTGCAACCATAATGCCTATGGAAAGAAAAGTCTAGAGTCCTGCATTAGTTAATGATTACATACTTTAAACATGCATACATACTTGTGTTATTTGCATAGAAATCTTTTGAAATGAAAAGGATTTTAAGTAGCAATAAAGCAGTCTATATCATTATATTATTAATTTTTAGTATTTATATTACTCCATTTACTATATCTCTCATCATGTACATACTAACATTCATTATTCAATGATATTAAGAGGAGTTTTTATATTGAAATAGTTTTGTGATGAGGACATCCGTAGGAGATTTCGACACACTTATCATCGGAGGAGTCGTCGAGCGACGGCTATGATTCATAGTCTTTATTTTTGATGTTTTATTTTTCTCATGTTATTTATATTTTATGTTTTTCCATCTGTACCCTTATGAGGAAGTTATTGCATGTTGTAGCCCGAGGGCGATTTCGCCTTTATGGTTTTTTTTTTTATTTTTAGAAGGCCTATATATGGAGGCTTAGTCATTGTATTTGGAATTGTTGAATGAATGAAAATTATGTTTTTTGATCTCTTAGTGAGTTCTTTAGTGGAATCCCAAGATCTCTTAGTGAGTTCTTGAGGAACAGCAATTTTTACTTGGTTCTCTCGTCTCAATTTTCTTTCTTCTCTTCACCTCTCTTTTCAAGCTCTTCTCAAATGCCACCACCCTTCCCCCCTATTCCTCCCTCACGGTTTCCCCACCTCACCCCTTCCCGCCGCCCCAAGCCAGCCCCAGCGGCCGCCCAACTCCTCCGTCGGCCAGCAGCTAGCTAGCTAGTCGGCCATCTGCCGGCCAGAGCTTTCTTGAATTTTCAATTTTGAAACACTTTAAAAAATTATTTTTATCATTGCTTCAACAATCTTTATTAATTTCTTAAAACAACTCCTGGATTCACATCATTTTGCCTATCATTAAAAATGATCTCATGGATGTAAATAGGTTCCATGGAGATTCATAGATACAATACAACTCTAAATAAATTGTTATGAGAAAATAGTCAAGGATCACTATTCAAAATCAGAATTAATTTGGATATTCTCATGTATTTTTGTATACTTCAAACATGCATAATCTATTTATATGAAATACATAAGAGCAATTTTATACTTCGAATTTTATGAAAACTTTAGAATTCAAATATAAGGATTTAATGTTGGTTAAAACTAATGAATGTTTGAGAGTACTTTTTTTTCATAAATTGAAGGCAAGGATTATAGATTGGTAGAATCACATGGTACTTTTTTAAGTTCCAGTACGCATATTTATTATGTGTAGCCATCTTTGAGTCAAAGGAAATTCATTTGGATTTTTGGTCGATTAGAATTTGATAATTATTCAGCAAGTTTTGTGCTTTGGGCATACTTATCAGCCTCTTTGAGACATTATTCTCTTTGTTGTTTTGCAAAATTTGATGTCCAATATTCCAATGTAAATATAAGATTGTGACTGCATTTCACATTACATTGACATGCTTAGTGATGCTGCTTTCTGAAATTAACTATCTTTGCAATGCAGATGACTGCATTAATAAAAAGGAACAAGATCCTGACAAAGAAATGCCTGTGGTCAGAAAATGATCTCTCTGTGAATCATGAGAAAGCTAAAAATTACAATGATCCTGGTAACATCAACTCGTATGATGAAACACTTGCAGAGTCTGTGTCTACAAATTTTCAGGTTAGTTTTTTGTTGCTAACTTTTCTCTATGTTACATGCACTCATAATTTCATATATGCATATTTGTTAGAATTAAAATGTAGAAGAAAAAAAGGAAGACAAAGAACGGAATATTTCATTGCTTGACTAGGTTGAAACTTGACCCTATAAATAAAGGATTAAAAAGTTGAAAAACAGGGAAGAAATCACATGACTCTAGGATGAAAGGAAATCTGAATATCACAGCATGTTTTAATATAAATAATCACTAAATACCCTAGGTAAATCCGTAGAAAATAATCCTTAATCAGCTCCAATTCAACAACATTCGATTGAGGGTCAAACCATGAGATTTCAGGAAGAACAACTGCAGGAAATTGCCAGTTAGGGTGGGCTGCCAGCTGCCTTCATCGCTATTGCTGGATTTCCTTCAAGGGAAAAGGAACCGCTAGGCCACCTTGCCATTTGTGTGTTCATTTCAGTCAAGGGAAGATTCTTAATATGGCAGAAGATAAATTGCATTAAACCTTTTCCTATTGAAAAGATATTGCAACATTTAAGAATGGTAATTATGACTGGGAAGATTTAGAAGAAAAACTTATTAATATCCTTCCTTTTCTATTCCCATTTAAGGGAATTTTTATGGAAGAAAAATTTATCTTCGAAGAAGGTGATGCCTATATACACAAGTATTTTTTTTTTTCCAAGAGAAATAACATTTATATCCTTATTTATTGCCCCATACTCAAGAAAATTATATTTAAGGTTTTGAGATCAAAATTATTTTTGTTAGGTTCGTGATTGTACTCAAAGACAGTTCACCTAAAGAACTTAAGAGGTCATTTGAAATAGTAGGAGTTTTTTGGACAATATTGAAAAACAACATTTATTGAGGATTTGGGATTTTGAATTGAAGCATGTTAGTGAGTAAACTGATTTATAGGATAGCAATTCTTCAGGTATTTTAGCAAACATAATAAATCTTGTCATCTCTAATAGATGTTTCTTTTTTCATTTAACTATACAATTTAAATGGGGTGTGTTGGGACAAGAACCTTAATGAATGTGTTTGAAATACTTTGTCTTTATTATAAAGGATTTGGATGTTAGTAGAGTATTATGAGTTTTAGTCATATTATGGAAGTTTTTGAATACCTATTTAGCATTCCATTATTTTCATCAGATATATAGCTAACTCATGGGATGGCATAACCCCAAATATTACTATATACAAAAGAAAAATGTTTATTACTTAAAGGTAGCTTTTTGTTGTTAGACAAGACAAAGTTCACATTGAAAGACATTTTATTTTCAAACAAAGAAGGAAAAAGTACTTAGATATGGAAAATTAGGATAACCTAATTTATGATGCCATAACATAATTTGATCGATTTTGCAATAGGAGAAAATTATTTGTTGATGGTAAGTATTTGTTTACTCTCTATGGATTCCTCATCAAAGTAGTTCAATCCTCCATCCTCACTAGCACTGCCAATTTTGTTCCCATATCTCAAATCCTAAAATTCATAATATTTAGATGAGATAATGATTTTGCAGTTAACAATCTTTTACTAATAAGAGATCGCAAGTAATATTTGTTCCATGTAAAATAGAATTTAGACAAAGCCCATAGTTAATTCTAATGGTTCTTATCCCAACAATAGAGGACATGCCTCAACAATTTTGATTTTGTGGTTTTCAATGAAAGACTAACTATAAGATGAGAATAGATGAATATAACATGTTATGTGATATGAAGTTTTTGAATCAATGATCAAAGATTTCTGTCTTCCCTTAGTGTAGGTAATGGCAAGAAGAAATATACTTTTTTTAGTTAGAAGAGAAGATTTGGAGGCTTTTTTAGGAGCGAGTAATTTGTATAAAAGATTTAATTGCTCTTTATTCAGGGAATGTCACCAAGGTTTTCATTAGTTTTCATCTTTATTCTCTCACTTTTGTTTTGATATGTGTGAGCATTTTTGTGTTGATTTGAAGGATTGATCCAATATGTTGGTTTGCTATAAAATTTTCAATAAATTTTATTATAATTAGTTTTTTTTATTGACATTACACATAAAAGTATACATTTTTTTTCCACGTCTCAAGTCATTTCCTAGATTTTACTCTAGATCTATGTTGGCAAGAGTGAACCTTTCATTTTGAAGAGGTTCTTAGTTCCTCCAAGTATTAATCTTATTTAATTTCTTCTCTTCAAATCTCAACAATTACTTAATTTTTTGGTAATGGATGAATCCCCTAGATTATTCCAAGAAATCTTTTATGAGGCATGTAAGAAAATCATAGGTTCTTGTTTTATCCACAATCTTCATGTATTTACTTGTACACTACCCACTTCGATCATTTTCGCTTGAAAATATCTAGTTCTTGCTAATTTTTTGTATTTGCGGTGAGGTATTCAATGAATTTTATGCTTCTTTGTTTGAGCATGATCTTGGTGTTCTCATGATTAATTGTAATTTTTAAGATTCAAATACACAATGTTAACTTGATAGGAAACACTTGTGTTCGCAAATATTCCTAACCCAAATCAGTAAAATTTCAGCAGTAAAATGCTGTCCACAGCAGCCAAACAGCAGGAATTCAGCAGAAAATAGGGAAACAGGAAGAAAAACACAATAATATGCTTGTATTTCACTAGAAAATCAAGGAAAACAGCAAAGATACACTTGATCCTCAATTCGAGAGGAGGATCGATCTCTCCCAAATCTCTAGACGCCGCTAGAGCCCAAAGAAAACCTAAATCTACGAGATCTCAAATTTCAGCCAAATTCAAGATGCCCAAACCCTAGCAAAATCAACTATTTAATGCATACAAATCAAAAGGAATTCCCTAAACAGTCCCTACATTCAAATTTC